TAGCTACTGCCTCTGCACTCACACCATGCCACAAGACAGTCCTGCATTTTGAAGACCAGCCAAAGTCTGAATCAATACATGTTTCTATGTACTTTCAGATAAAACCTACATTATGTTACCACTGATCATACCACTAATTATAGAGAATAAAATAAAATACCACCCCCCCTCAAAGGGAGCATTCTACACAGGAGGGAACTGAGTATCCAAATTAAAATTAAAATGAATACAAGCCTAGAAATAATACCATATTTAGAAACACAACATACTGCAATGCCACAAGCATGATCTTTGTCCTGTCACAGTGACAGTATCGGATACCCACCTAATTAAAACATTTTTGCACTTGCACTACAAATTTAATGGCATTCAGACTTCCAATAACCAAATGTTTCCCTCTTGATTCTGCTGCAATAAAGAGTTAATATTCTTCAAACACAGCCTGTTGATGCTGATGGGTTTAAGCAGCTCAAAACATTCAGTGAACTGTTCATGCCATAGCCACCTGTGAGAAGATCCATGGGGTGATCCATTTCCTTTCACAATCCCTCAAAAATTTAACCCCTAAATAATATACCTACAAATTCTCAGAAAACATTGCCAAGGACATGCTACTTCTTAACAAGTAATCAAGATCTATCTTTACTTTAATTCAGATTCATAAGGTGGAATAACTGCCATTCGTCAACTCTGGACAGCCATAGCATTTTCTGCCCCAGGCAAATAGGCAACAGCTAGCGGTTATCTAATTTAGCAAGATTATCGCCCAAAAGCAATATTGTAGATTAACATTTCAATGAGGTGCACTTTTATTTTTTGGCACAGTAAAGCTCCTGAGTTCTCTTGGTGTTTTCCAATACATGTTCTAGCATTGAATTCACTGCTTATTTGAAATGAGAGAGGCAAGCCCACCACAACTCAGCAATGAGAAAAAGACCAGCAAGTTGGGTCAAAACCAGCCTGAACAGGCAAATGTGATTTCTGTCTCTTATGTGGAAATCTCAGTAAAAAGTGCTCTTAGGTTAGGTAAACTCTCTGAAGACAGCTGCAAAAACACCCCTAATGTCCTTCCTGTGAGCAGGGCAGGGGCAGGCTCCACTCCAGATGGCAGGAGTGATGCTCAGGTCCAGGGGAGAAGAGGTATAGGCAGGGGAGGCACGGCCCCGCAGTGGGACTTGCCAGGGGAGCATGGCAGCTGGAGGGACCCTGGTGGGAAGCAAAGGATCCACCGTTCTCAGGACAACAGAACACTGTGCCTCCTTCATCAACAAACAGAATTTCCCCAAAGCTTCCTACTCACATCAGCAGTTTCTTCTCAAAACAACCTCAGGTCACGGGTAGAAGCCATGGGATGGCTTCTTTGTAGCTGTTTCTTTCAGTTGCTCACTGATTTGGGTCCCTGCCTCGGGCATTTGTTCTGCCCCTTCCAAACACCTGGGCTGTCACCTCTTCCCTTGCCCAGGCACAGGTCACTCCAGATCCACACCGCTGCAGACACTTCACCTGACTTGGTCCACCCCAAATGTTCTGTAAAAGCTAACTTCTTCACTTTTTCCATTTGACAAGGTAACGCTTTCACCCCCTGACACCAGCCTTTGACCATACTTTCTATCGCACTTCTACTATAACTCCAGCTGCTGTCTTGTGCTTTCTATTGTTGCAGCAATTCATAGTCACCATCTGCACAGAGCCCTGCTATTTTTCCTGAGGTGCATAAGATGAGACCAATTTCCACGCCACACTGCATACAGGACGTGCAGGCACACCAAAGCACTCTCTCAACCACTGGACACACACAGCTGTTTAAGCAAACACCACAGAGGTGCTGAAATGCCCCATTGACCACAGAAAGAACATGCTGCAGGTTGGGCCATAAGCTTCATGTGGGATTAATCTCATCCAATTTTAGCTGTGCAAAGGCTAAGCATCTAATCACATATGGCGCCACACGGTCATCAAGAAGCGTTGAGTGTCTCAACCACAGGCTGCAGTGCCATTTCAGAGATCCTAGGGCATCTCATCTGGCATCCACAATCTGCTCCACATCGCAGGTCTCCTCTAGATCCTGGTTCCTATCTGTCATCCCCTAGAGATGCCACAGACTCCATAGGGTGTCTCAGTTGACACCAAGGCAACTGAACCACACCCCCCCGAGAAGCACTTTAGACAGGACCTCAGCAACTTTTTTGCACAAAATATGTTGACTATCTACGTTTAGGTGCTGAACCCCACTGTGCACCTGTAATGGGTTTGCATGGCAAGGTTTTGGTAGCGGGGAGGGGTTACAGGGGTGGCTTCTGTGAGAAGCTGCTAGAAGTTTCCTCTATGTTAGATATAGCCAATGCCAGCCGGCTCCAGGACGAACCCGCCGCTGGCCAAGGCCAAGCCAATCAGCGACAGCGGTAGCACCTCTGGGATAATGAGTTTAAGAAAGGGAAAAGTTATTCCACAGCAGTAGTTGCAGTGAGAGGAGTGAGAATATGCGAGAGAGACATTTCTGCAGACACCAAGGTCAGTGAAGAAGCGGGAGGGAGGAGGTGCTCCAGGTACTGGAGCAGCAATTCCCCTGCAACCTGTGAAGACCATGGTGAAGCAGGCTGTCCCCCTGCAGCCCATGGGCGGTGGAGCAGATGACTGCCTACACCCTGTGGAGGGCCCCCATGCCGGAGTAGGTGGATACCTGAAGGAAGCTGTGACCCCGTGGGAAGCCTGCACCAGAGCAGTCTCCTGGCAGGACCTGTGGCCCGTGGAGAGAGAGAAGCCCATGCTGGAGCAGTCGGTTCCTGAAGGACTGCACCCCATGAAGGAGACACGCGCTGGAGCAGTTTGTGAAGCACTACAGCATGTGGGAAGGACACACGCTGGAGAAGTCATGGAGGACTGTCTCCTGTGAGAGGGACCCCACCCTGGAGCAGGGGAAGCGTGTGAGGAGTCCTCCCCCTGAGGAGGAAGGGGCAGCAGAAACAAGTGTGATGAGCTGACTGCAACTCCCATTCCCTGTCCCCCTGTACCAATCAGGGGGAGGAGGGAAAGAAACTGGGGACAAAGTTAAGCCCGGGAAAGAGGGAAGGGGTGGGGGGAAGGTGTTTTAAGATTTGGTTTATTTCTCATTACTCCTCTCTGAGTTAATTGGTAATAAATTACATTTTTCCCAAGTCGAGTCTGTTTTGCCCATGATGGTAAATGCTGAGTGATCTCCCTGTCCTTATCTCGACCCACAAGCCTGTTATATTTTTCTCTCCCCTGTCCAGCTGAGGAGGGGGAGTGGTAGAGCGGCTTTGGTGGTCACCTGGCATCCAACCAGGGTCAACTCACCACAGCACCAATGGGTGCAGAGTTCTGGAACGTCCACCTATAGACCTATAGGTTTGCTTGCTGTTTGCTTCATTACTGCACACAGGTAACAGTGGGTGGGACATAGCTCCAGGTTGTAGGCAACTAAAATTTGGTACGGAGAACTGCAGCTTCATCCAGATGGCCTCTCTCAGGTATCTACTGCCATCAGACTTCCTTATCCCACCTCGTCTCCAGCTGCTTGTTCAGCTTTAGATGTATAGATGTCTATAGATGCGCCAGTTTAGGTGTCTTAATCCATGACCTGAAAATAACTCCAGTGGTAAAGCAAAAGATAACCTGGCCCAAATGCTTTTCATAAAACATGAGCACCTCTTCACCCTTCCATGCATGAATTACTCACTGAAAAAGCAATAGTCCTGTAGTATCTGCTGAATGTTTGTTCTACTATCGCTAAATAAAATCTGGTAAGATTTTTGCTGAATTTTTTGCTTGAATAAACTACACCAGAAGCACACAAAAGCAGTCTGTGTCGTTTGATCACCAGTATCTTCAGAAAATATTGTATTTACTTCTTATGGCAAAGCTCAGCCATTAAAAAAATCATTTGGTCAGTAAAATTAATTAATGTAATTTTGAGCAATAAAGAAATTCTAGCTTAAAAAAATAAACCAAGAGCCAACTCTTATCCGCTGAGAGCTTTATTCTTTTGTTAATTCACAGACCTATGAAGGCTTGTACACAAAAAAAAAATCCCAGTATGTTTTTACTGATGTTAGAACTGCAGCCTCATTATTTTTAGTCATTTACTGTAAACATGAAGAGGAGGAGGAAAACTGCCAATGAATCTACTGAAAGCACTTAACCTTTTGGAGATTATGTCACTACTGTTGCAATAAGGATTGGCTAAGATGCTTCAATTTTTTTTAAGATATGTCAATTTTATTCAAATCTTTCTGCAGAAACATGTCCCATTTCAGGGAGAAATTCATTGAGAAGTGAAGTTCAGTTCAAACACTTTTGCTGTCTCATCCAGAAAAAAAACATTCAAGTTCTTACTGAACAGAGCAAGGGCCTGACTTTGTCTCCTCCACCTAGTGGGAATGCACCAAACAACAGGCCCTTGAGACAGAAAAATAAGAGATTATAAAAACGCATATTCAAGCTTCCCTTACTAGCAAAATTCAACATAAAATACTTGTAGCAGCCCCAGCTGCGACAGGTAGCACAGCAAGAAGAAGAGATGAACATTTGGGTTGAATGTAAGAAGCAAATCCTCCAGTGGAGGAATGAAGTCCATCAGCACGTGAAAAGTATAAGTATGCAATACAGCTTGCAGAACTAGATCCTGCAAGCAGGTGAGTGGCTTTTGCAAGGTGCTATTTGAGCGTGCCCAGCACTGAGGTGTGAGAATCACGAAGTCCTCAGCATCTTGCAGATTTAGGTCCTTAACGCAATATAAAACATATTTTCTCCACTTAGTGACCTGGCAGCTTGCTTTGACTTAGTTTTTCCCCCAAGCATCTGCTGTTAAGTTAATTAAGCATTTAAAAATAACAGTCTCTCACTTTCCAGAGACTCCACATAAATACTACTCTGTCTTCTTCTAAGGGCCAGATTTTCTGCAAGGGTAAATCAATACAGTTTCACTGATTGAGGATCTGGCCTTAAAAGTCTATCCAGTGCATTAAAACCAGTGCAGCATGACATATGCCTTGGCAGTAGAACAATTCTCCAGATTAATATTTGAGGGGAATTTGGCAGTAGGAAAAAAAAAAAAAGCTCTATTTTGAAATGCTGCCATTTCTTTAATCAGTGCTGACCACCACAGTTTCTCCTCTTGTGAACTGCACAGTTATGGCCGGAGCTTCACTCTCATTCTCCTCAAGCTTTAGTGCAGCGTTATCCAAGCCAGTGCTGCTGGGCTGTGGCAAGGCGGTGGGTTCTGCCGTGCGAGTCGGAGTGGAGCAATACAAGATGAAGCCCACCATGATGATAACGAAGGACAGGATATAAAGACCTGAAAACTGGCAGAGGAAAGAGAGAGACGCATTAAGCCTTGTCTGATGTAAAAACATGTCAATGCTGCCTTGGTTTAAGAATACGAAAGCTACCCTTCCTTTTAAAAATTATTTTAATGAGAATTATCACCATGAAATCTGAAAATCAAAATTCAACAGTTCCATTCACTGACTGACTCAAGCTGCTGGCTGGTTTTCTCTGCATTGCAGCCTCAACACTGTTGGACAGAGTTTCCTTCGGTCTGCATACAAGAATCTTAACAAAGAGAACAAATGGCTGTAAATATGGTGGTACTGAAGGACAGTTGTTCACACACATGAGTACTGAAACACTGTACCCCTAAGAGAATTTTGTTTCAGCAGAGTCAAATATTTTAGGTCCTGTCAAGAGATGAATCGCTCCATCCTACTGCAAGTTACCAGAGCAGCTGGTTCTCTGCACAGCTCTCAACCATCTGCAGGGCTAGATAAACGTTATTACTGGACCAAAACTAGTTTGCTCTCTACATCCAGCAAGTCTCTGAAGAGAGAGAGACTGGGGCTCCTTTTACAAGATCAGCATTTGTCCTCTGTTAAGAGCGGTGTGAGGTAAGAGTATCCGCTGCCAAGCTGCATCAGGCATTTGATTCACTATCATTCACTTGTCTGTTAAAAGTCCAACAATTGCCAAGATTCATCTACCTTGACAGAAAAATAAATGCTTACTTCGTCACACCAGATTCAACAATACAAAGCGTTTGAGTTACCCACAGCCAGGAACACTTTTTCAGCAGATTTATTAAGATCTTCTGTACTGCCTTTGCCAAACCACACTGATTAAACAGTTGGATGAAGGACATAGCGCATCCTACATCCCACTGTCAACATTCCTTAACCTCCTTAGCTTGAAAAATACATGCTAGTTTATCAAGCAGCAGAGCTGGATGAACTGAATGGCAGGAACTGGACAGCGGACTCTGATCCAAAACAACACTGAGGCATCTACAACTAAGGTATTGCAATTCCTAGCTGGCAGTCACTTGGCTTGGAAACCCTTGGACGGCACCATGCAAATGGAAAAAAGCAGACTGAAACACAGTGGCCTTGTGATACGTGCCCTCTCTCCTCACCTTGCTGGCTGGCTGCCTGGAGGAGCTTGGACTCAGGTGTTCACTCTGCACACGAGGAAGCACAAAGCTCTGAAGACGGAGGCAGCAGCAGCATCCATGGTCCTACCCCTGACTGACCCATTCCCATCAAATGGGTAGAGCTTGGGTCTGTATCAAGGCACTTGCAAAACTTCTCTAGAGCGCAGCTGAAGGCTGTGAATGAACATGCGCTTGCATGCGAGGACATGTGGCTGGCAGGTGAGACTGGGCAGTCACAGTAACTGCCAGAGCCCCTCTCACAGTGCGTACAAGGCAGTAGGTGTCTCTGATCCTGCTCAGAATTAATTCCTCTGTGAGTGGACACACAGTCGCCTATGCTTTTTTTTTTTTCCTTTCTTCCCTTTGTCTTTGGGAGGGCTAAGTGGTCTTTTCCTGTTTTGTTTTGTTTTCTCATTTCAAATATTGCAGCAACTTCATTGCTTCAGACACTGACTTCAGTTGTACCTGTGCAGCTTATATCCCCATACTCACTACTTTAAATGTTACTGGAGGACTGTAACTCCATCTAGTGTCTGTATTTGCAGTATACTCCCTTCCATAGGAGTTTATACAACAAAAGCATTCTGAGACCTTTTTTGATATCTCTTGAGGGATTACAGGTATCTATATAATGAGCTCATTAGGAACAAGCACAGCAAAGATTCATGATGGAGTAAAAGAAAAAAAAAACAGCTCACCAAAACAGGTATGCAAAATTTGTCTTTCACCTTAAACAGACATGGTTTGGGCTGAGAAGTCAACTGCATTAGCAAAACACTGTGCACAAGTCAAAACCTCACAAATTCCCAGGCCTGGTCTCTGCTGTAGCCACTGTATGTTTGTGCTGCTTCTGTTTCAGAGCAGGCTCAGATCATAGCAATTCAGAGCTCTCCGTGGCTTGCTCTGCTCCGCAGCCCAGACAAGCCTTCAGCGGCTTGCTGTGAAATGTCAGCCGGTAATGGGGAACACAGAGCGATTCCTTGCATTTTTGTTTGCAGATTCTGGTATCCAGGGTGCTTTTTAATCCAGGAAATGTCCTGCCTTGTTTCTTTTCCCCATAGGTAAAGAAACTATACGGTTAACATGGCAATAAGATTTTATACTGCTAAGTGTTATGTTAAAAGCCCTGTCAAAATCAGGTGCTCTCAGTTCTTGGTTCCTGAGCTATCTCAGATCCTCTGATTACTAACGATGCATCATTATTATTGCTCCCCTTTTTGCTACTTCATTGCTGCTAACCACAGGTGCAAGTTCCTATTTTAACAGATATCTGAAATTCTCTCATAATACAACCCCAAAGTCTGCTCTAATTCATTTTTCCTTTTTGCTACCAGAACACCCCACAGTAACTAATTACAGGACGATGTGCTCCCAGAAAAACCTCTCCTCAAAATAAGCTAAAAATCCTGACGAATAAGTTTATTATACCTCTTCCAAAGCTCTTGCTTACTTCTTCCTCTTTGCTATTATGAATATAAATTTATAATCTCTTCTTCAGTTAAAGCTATCCAGGTGCCAAAATACATGTTTGGAAGGGACTTAGAAAGGATTTTTTAAATTGTTAAAATGTAAATATGGTTTGCTTCCTACATTGATTTTTAATTGATGCTTTGTAGCTTGAAGCAAATTCTGGAACCCAAAACAAGGAGGAAAGCTGAGCTAAGAGACTCTTGAAAAGGAAAACCTAGCTGCTGTCAGACCCTACTACTACCAGACCTCCATGCTGAAAAATAAATTGGCCTTCATTTTCAGAAACAAATCTGACCTAAAAGCTGCTGGTTCTCCATAATGCTGAACAGAAAGCAACCACATGGAATAATACAAATAAGTTCTTAAGCAAAGTTCACAAGCTCCTCACTAAGCCCTTCCAGTCACCGAGCAACTGACTCAATTACTCCAATTGCCGTAACGAGCTGGGTTCCCACAAATTACTCTGGATCAAAAGTGTAGGACGGAATGAAATCTTTTTAGCACTGTCATTTAGCTTGAATAGACACTATCAACAATATTTTAGAGCACAATAAAAGTAACTGCCTTTTGGACAGCATACAGAATAATATTTATCCGCATCTTTTTCAGTTCCTTTAGTCTCTCCTGAGAGAGGTTGATTCTTATCCCAAGATGTTGGTAATAAACAGATTAAATTTCTAAAAGAAAACGTGAATTTCTGGAAATCAAGCCAAACTGCTCCTCTCTCAGACACCAATTGCCTTTCAGGACAGGGAGATTCAAACCCTCTCTTTGGACACTTGGACAGATGAACCAAATCTAACATACAGTTCTACACAGGGCTTATGGCAAGAACTCTACCATTTGAACATCTCGGGAAATTATTTACTGTCTCTTAACATTAACTCTAATGTATTCAATCAACTGTGAAATTGTTTGAAAATCACTATCTGCCTAATGGTGCAATGCTATGTAATTAACTATGACTCCTCCTGATGGACATCTGCCAATGACGAATGATACAAGCTGTAGGAATGTACAAGTGCAAATGACTGTTCAGGGGCTTTTAAGAACTTTAGGCTTTACTTATCATTTTGGAGTAAAAACGTAACTGAAATCATAGTGACAGAATGAAGGTACTTACCTTATAGAAAAAGAGGAAAAGCCCAAAGAACAGGCTGTAGAGATCCGCAGTCAGAATACCCAGATTGACTGAGGTTGCGCTGGTGACTTTAATCACTACTGGCATAAAGCTATACAGCCCGAACATACACAGGGCAAAGACTGTGAACAGCAATGCTGCAAAACAAGATGACAATTTATTCCTAAGGCATGGAATAATGATTTTAAAGAACTCAAATATTCTTCAGATGCTTCAAAACTATGCATTTTTATCTTTTAGGATAAGGTCTCCTAAAACATATGGGAATGTAAATTTAAGAAAAACATGGAAGAAATACATCTTTTCCAAGGCTTGTATATATACTTATTTCAATCTATCTTGAAAAATTTCTTATGTTATATGTGAACTGCAAAACCTGAGCTCAAAGATTTTTATGTTCAATCCTGAAAAGCTTGTCTCTTTGCTGAGCTGCAAAGTTTGCATAAAACAAATTCGTGACAATATGAATGTTGCTTAATATCCAGAGAAAGAAAATTTAAACCCCAGCATTTAAAGTCTAAACAATCATCATTTTCCAGTGTTCTGTAAAAATGCACATGATTTTGTCATACACATACCAATTTTCCAGTTCCATTGAATTCTCATTATCTCCCTATGTTCCACAATGGCTCTAGAGTTAGAGAAAAGATATAATACAGTAAAAAAGAAAAAATCATATTCAAATAGAGAATTTAATTATCAAAATATATAAGAAACATTTTGATTTATAATCCCTTAATTTTTCATTTGAAATTTTACTGAATGACACTAACTCCACCATCTAACAAGCATGAAAAAAGACTTGAGTATTACAATGCCTTAAAGTCAAGAGCACTTTTATCTAATTCTTATGCTTTCTTCCCAGGCTTTTTCATCCTTCAGAGATTCAGTTTTATTTGATACACCATTTGAGGAAATTATTAGCTATAATGATGAGAAATTAGGAACATAAAATTCCTTAGATAGGCCTAAGTGCATGTGGTCTGTTACTCTAATGTGGTTATTTTTAAGACTATACATGGCTTCACTTTAAACTGAAGTTTAGTATGGAAGACATCCTGCTAACGATTATCTCCTAAACTTTTCCATAGAGAAAATCTATTAAGAAATACATTCCTGTGAACAGTCCTCAGCATACTGAGTGTCCTCATGAACATCAACAAAATCTAAAATACAGCCAAGTATCATGTGTGTTCAATTGCAGGACTTCAGCTTTAGAAATACTGTAATAAAAGTAGTGCAAATAAAAAGGATATAAAACGGATGCTGATCAGCAATAAAAACAAAGTTCAAGAAAGAATTCCCATAAGGCCAAATGCAGACGTAACAGAATTAATTTAATAACAACAATATAATTTCATGGTAGACAAACAATCATCTGTAGAATATTCTTAATTAGTTTTAAAATAAATATTAGATCCTTACAGCTGTAGACCGCTGATAATAGTCCCAAACAAGCCCACCATTCCTAGAAACTCCACTCTGCTCAGATTTTTCACAATGTATTCCTCACTCACATTAGAAATGGCATACAAAGAAGCACCAAGAAGCACTAAGACATCTCCAATCACCACGTCACTACCTGTACAGAAATATTAATCCACAATAAGGGTAATGCTGCAAAAACTTTTAACTTTCCTTAAAAACACAAGCAAGTTTATCTCTAACATCTCTTATCTTCCTAGGGCCTTCCAGGGTAAGGGGAAAGGAAACTTCTTTTATGTGTGCAGACGAGGGCCTTGGCATCTGAGCATGGACTCTGCTACCTGCTTTCCTAACCCTGCACAGTCTGCAAGGAGCTAAACCCAGCATTTAAATCTCATCCTGACCAAGCCACTGCTGCAGTCTGGTCCAATTCTGCTTCTGCTGACCTTAGGCACTGTAGGGAATTGAGAAAATTCCCAGTTAGAGATGCTTTCCACCTTCCTCAATATTGCCCCTGCTTTTGCAGTTAAGGCCTGATTCAAGTCTTGCTAAAACCAGTCTATTGATTTCACAGCGGGACCTGGACTCAGCTTCAGGTTTATGACAGGTCTTAAGTGGGCACTGCAGACGGGTGGTATCATGTGTCCTGCTGCGATTTATTTATACTGTGCAAATGGGACCCCCACACATACAATCACTCATCAAGTAAATGCCATTACGCATCAGCTAAATAGCAAGAGCATCACTGTTGTTTAAATCCTTGAATTGATTTAAAATTTCCTTCCCTGAGCCAGCTGGCAATCACTAATAAACTATGTCTGAAATATGAGGGTAAGCAGTAGTAAGGACACCCAAGTCAGTAAATGAAGTCTTAAAGTCTCAGGGAAAGGAGATTTTTCTTCCTCAGGATTGAGATACTTGTACCACATAGCATTAAAGCTAAACCTCAGTTTGTCTTGATGTCTTACCTACAGTAAGTTACACCAAACAGGCTTATCTCTGTGCTGCCTGATGAAGGCAATGACCTGAAATTTACCTTGCCTCATACCCTCTGGCTCAGACAATTCTAAATTCTTCTTCAAAAATAAGAGTGCTACAACATGGGTTGATTTACGCATCTGTCAGAGAAGATGAGACCAACCTGCCCTCATCTGCGCCTGGATGGATCCTGGTCCCCAGAGCCCAGTCTCCCTCCCAGAGGTCCAGGAATCCCAGTATCCTGCCCACATCTCCTCTTGCTCTCCTGTAGTAAGCCCCTGCCTTCCAGGCTGTGACCTGTGGGCCTTGCGGATACATGGACCGTTTCTGCTCGGTCTACCAAAGATAACTCAGATGTCAGCTGCTGTTGAGGAACTTTTTATTTGATATTTGTGCTCATAGAAAACTGCAAATCAGAGAAGTCTGGCTGCCAGTGGGTTGATACAGTGTAAACAAGACATGGTTTGCAGCGAGAGGCAGCATCTTTTGTTAGACCATCTTATGTGGTTAGTAAAAGAGAAAAAGCTTTCAAGAATGAGGCCTTTCATCAAGTCTGATGAACAGCAGCAAAATTTAACCTTAACAGAACTGTTTCTCTTTTAAGGTGGAAGAAATAATCCAAACCTACAAGCAAAGAAATTCCACAGCTCCTGTAAAATTAGCATCTCCTCAGCCACTATCTTCTTGGACAAGAAATACAAATAGCAGCGTGTCTTCTCCTCTTCTCTTTTGAAATAAAACTATATCCACTCCCCCTGCATTTGCTCCTCTTTCTCCTTTACAAGTTAGCCCACCATGGGAACCGTGTCTCCGCTCCCCGCCCACCATGATAAAGGGCTCCTTACCTTCGCTGTCCTGCCTCCCTGCCAAAATGTCTGCACCCACCATTGTTCCTACACCCAGCAAACAGACGGCAACAGCAAGAAAATGGATCAGCCTGTATCTTGCACGGAGAATGAACCACGACAAAGCCATCAGCACAGGAATCCCAAAACAGTCCAGCAGCTGTGTGTACAGAGAAATGGTTTGAATTAGAAACCCACCCCAAATCTGGACTGCGCTATCCTGAAAGCAAGTGCACAGGATCTTACTTTCCATTGCTATCAGACATTAATGAAAGCCACAAAGCAACCCCAGCGGATTTGTTCAAAAGATGGGTCAGACGCACATTTTACCATTAAAAGCATTTTGCAAGTGAAGGAGGAGCTGGGGCAGGGGTCCACTCCCTCCTGATAGGACAGCACTGATCTAGAAACTCTTCTAATGATGGATCTAATCAATCTTTGCAGCTTTACAAATGAATGCTAGGATGTAGCTCTGAAACCACGTTGCTCCCTATGACACCAATAAAGGAGGTGGTTTACCAACATTTCCTTTTCTCCCCAGCAGGTTTTGCTTAGCTCTTCTTTTCACTCCTCCTCAAATCTGCAATTAGAATGTAGGGCTCCATGTACACAAAGTAAAAATCTGGAACTATTGAAGGATACAAGTAATTTGATTTTACATTGAAGTGACTAGGACAAGAATCTGACCCTGCAGTTTTGGTTTTGATTTTTTTTTCCCCCCAACTGGATCCTACTGAAAAAAACACCCAAAAAAATGGTACAGGTGCTGGAAGCCTTGTGTAAAACTGGTAGAAGGAAGATAGGAAGGGAAGAACAGCTTTCCTAAAGTCACCTTCTCAATCTTCCAACTTCCCACAAAAGCACGTACAAGCCACCAATGCGTTTTCATTGCTTTGTTAGAGCTGACTCTCAATTAGTCAGAAGCAGGTAACCCCTCTAATTCACCCACGCCCCAGCAGCAGAGACACACAAGACAGCTGGAGCTTCAAAGCACTTCAGATGTGTTTGCAGACATCGCCCCGAGCAGACTGAACAGCTATGGCTCAAGGATGTCTGCCCTCCAGGACAAGCAGTGACATTGACTTCTCTCTTCTTTCTTTATTATCCCCCCTCAGTACACTCCTGAAATCCTACATATCTTTGCCTTGCTGTTAGACCCACCCATCTTCTACTCATTCTCCTTTATTACAGAAAATATCACAAGTTAGCTGTGTACTTAATACAGAAAAATACGCTGCAGCGCACAATGGGCATAATGTTGTAGAATAACCAAGTAATACCAAAAAACATTGAGCTAATCATGATTGGCTTAATATTTAATTTAACAAAATAAGACTTTGATTCAGAATTCATCAGGAGGGAAAAAAAGGTGCATTTTCTGACCTGACTCAGAAGAGTGCCATGAAACTATACAAGGGAATAGTCTACAGCAGAACATACAGTCAGCCTTCCAAAGTCGGCTCACAAATTACTCTCAAATGTCAGCCCTTAAAACTTGGCCTCTTGAAGTGCCTTCAAAGCATCAGGTCCAGGTCAATGGAACTGGGGCATAATCACTACAATCAGGACAAGAGCCCTTAGTCCTTAATGTTCATTGACAACCGCTGCCTGCCTAAGTGCACCACTGCAGTCACCTTCCGTGCTGGCTTCTGTTAGTTCAGCCATCATCCCCACAGGTTTTAACTGAACCTGCAAGACTTTCATGATACATCTGGTTTTACTTGTTCATAACCACACATATTAAAGTCTTACAAGCATAGCATTGAGGGGAGTTATTACAGATTAAACCCTAACAGTGCCTCTAATCCTTCCATTTGTCTTCGCTCCTCAGATTGCCCCCATCTTGTCGAGTCTGTAAAGCGCAAAAGCACTTGCCTAAGCTGCATTATGAGTCACTACAACCACACAAGTCCTAATATGTGATACCACGTTACTTCAATACAACTTTGCTCTACCAAAAAATACCTTGCTGTGAGTTTCTATCTAGTCACGGGCCTTTTTCTCTATCTTACCTATAGTCTAGGCTCAAGAAAAACCTTCTAACATTTCCTCCAAATTTGACTGTTTTGACTAGCGTCAAACAACAAGAAAGATTATAAAGCAAAATTTCCCACCCTCCCGTAGTATACATCTCTTCTACCAATAAATAAGCTTTCACTTCCCCATTACATTGAGATGTTATTAAGCAGCTTTTCAACTCAACTCCGAGTAGCTTTTCAACCCAAACAGAAAGAGTGGGAGAAAAACCCTTTAAAAAAAATTCTTAATTAGGATGTAAGGGAGTAGCACATAATGAGCCAGAAGCTCTTTCAGCAACACCAGATTGGGAATTGCTGCATCCAGGCCAGTAACATACTGTAGAGCTACAGCATCCTGGTTAGAGGACTTGCAGCCAGGACACAGAGGCACCAAATGATGAAGAACACAGCCTGGTAATCTGTTCCAGGGGACAATTACAGTCAGAAGAAATCTGATTTCCAATACTGGATCTTGCCTTCCTTTCATCTACTACATTGCAGAGCTCTTTGGCAGAAAATGCTCTCTTCTGCACAGGATCAAGATCAAAGAGGTGCAAAGCAGATGTAATATCACAATGAATTGTGTCAATGGAACCATTTAAAAGAATAAACTTTATTTATTCAGGTTTTATGACATTTACAGCAGTACTGTGGCACTGATTACTATTGCCGGTAGAGCCTCAGCGAATTATTCAATTCTAGCTTGTATTTTTACAAGGGAAAAAACAGACAACCTGGTGATTTGATTTACAAATGTTTTGACTGAAGCCAAGCTTTGGCCACAATGTTTATAGGAGGTTTTAAAGGTAGAGCAAGTAAATTATTAAAAGATGTTTTAATACAAGGTTAATAAATTATCATAGACTGTTAGAGGTCATTGGTTTGCTTATAATTGCCAGCTCCAGACAGCTTTGTGAGCAAGAAAGCTTAACAGCTCATCCTGCTCCTTCCCCGCAAGGCTCCCTTAGGGCAACCTCCAGCTGAGCCCCAGGGACTCATCCTGCATTTTCTCCTGTTGAGGTTAACACTCTTCCATCAGCTCATATTCTGTCAATAGCTGCCTATAAAATGCCTCCACTCAAATTACCTACACAGCAAATGCTAATTGCTGTATAACATGCATAACATGTTATAACATGAAACCACAGCTACGCTGCTTGTTTTTCTATGAAATACATGGTCAAACAGCAGCACATTCAAGTTCTGCCACAAGACAGAAGGACACCGACAGCAAGAATTCTCCCTGGCACCGCCTCAGCCATAGCTGAACAAAGAGTTCAGCTGTGGACCAAAGTATTTTTATTTACAGAGAAACGAGAGCTGCCATCCCAATGTTATCTCCTTAAAAATCTCCCAACCCCTTCCATGCAATGCTGGTATTTGGTAACTAAAGGAAAATCACTTCTGCTTTTGTGTGCATGTCTGAGAAAATACATGGAAGTTCCTTGCTGAGCTGAGAAAACTTATCTTTGAAGGCAAGTTTCACAGGGCTGAGCTGAAGCTCCAGCCAGCCAGCATTTTAACAGTGATTACCCAGTATTAAGGAAGGTGCCATATACTCCTGTGTTGCTTTTATGGTCCCTGGGCATCGACTCACAGACAGGCCATCAGGCTGGGTACTCTGAACCACAGGTTCTGATGTAGCTGCAGAACTGCTTGCTACTGACAGAGAGCAAATGCTTAGCACTAGAACAAATCACATGCTTTTTTTTTTGTCCTGCACCTCATTTCTGACAGTGAGAAAACCAGTGACTTCAGAGAATGTGCAAGAAAACTTACGGCAACAGGCAGTTACAACAAATTCACAATTACTGAACTGACACAAAGCAGCATCAGCCCAAAGGTTACCACATGGGAAAATAGTTCAGCAAATGCTTGAGTTTGGCAGTGGGACAGGACAGCCTTCTCTATCTCTTCTTTCTTAATTTCCATGAAAGAAATCATGGGAATAGCTTTACTACTTCTGAGAACTTGGATCAAAGTCCTGGCTTTTTCAGCTGTAAAGTATATGATCAAACAGTGTCTCAATTATCAGATTAACTTGAGACTGAAACATGTCACTCAAAGCTTTGATCTCTTACGCATTATTTGTAAGGAAATTAAAGGCCTAATGAGTCATAACACATAAGAATTAAGTGGAAATGTGGCAGCAATAATCCAACAGACACATGTTACTGGTCTTTAGCAGTGCAAAGAAAAGTTACTGCAGTTCTCTAAAGGGAGCCCAGACCACAAGAGTTTATTGCTTTACGGGTGATTCTTTTAAATATTAACCCTCGTTACCGTGACTCTGTAAAACACTGACACCTAAACACTCCTTTCCAACAACCAATTCTGTATGGTACGTTGGTTATTTATTCAGGTAAGTGGGGCCATGACCCCAGCCACAGATCCACCATCGGTAACAGCAGGCACAGGCTGGCACGGCACCACACTCCCTCCCCTTGTTCCAGCCACAGCTGTGGAGCCACACCGTGAGCTAACCTGGGTCTGCCTGACACAGCTCGCCAATATGCCAGCAGAAGGCAGGATTTACTCTGACTTTGCTCAGTGCCCTGAGCCAGTCTGCTCAAGGGATTTGGCCATGCAAGCTCAGGAGCATGCACCTGGAAGCAGGAGGAAGGCACTAACTCTTCCAGCAGCTTACGTCTGTGCAGGTCAACAAAGAAACCCCTGCCTTAGCCCTCCTGCTTGTAGAGCTATTTCAGAACACAAGATCTATCCTAGTGCAGCGACACAGGACCAAGCACTGGCATGGCAGAGACTGTCTACTGTCACTTCAGGAGCCTGGCACGCTGACTTCCCTTCCTTCTTCTCCAGAGAGGGGCCTGAACTGAAGTGCCACATCCAAAAGCCATAGGGCTGGTCCCTCACCACATGGTCAGAAACACCAGCTATCAGTATGTCCTCACACATGGGGTTACATCTCACAACATCTCCCACAGCTTCCAGGACTAGGCAAGAGATCTACCTTGCTTTCATCAGCAAGAACCTGTGCTGAGCATTATCTGGTCATAAATCTTTATTTTGTGTCAGGAGAAAAACCTGAGTGGCTGTCAGCAAACTCTCAGAAGTGCTTTCTATCAAAATAATTAGAGTTCAAGTCTAGAGCTGGCACTGGGTAATACCAGCCAATTTTCTCTGCTTCCTGGAAATGTTATTCATGATGCAGGATGCTCTTCCCTCTACTGCAAAGAGAAAATAAGATATTGGAAAGTTTTTTCAGGCTTAAATGGCTTCCACATCTGTCCTATGAATCTCATTTCAGAAACTTGTCCAAAACTGTAATAAAAGCAACAGTTCAAAAAGAGAGATCAGTCCTTACCTGCACACTTGTGAGGGTTGTGTATTGGTAGGCTTTTACAATCATGTAATTTGCTTCAACATCAGCCAGTCCCAAAAAAATATACTTCCACCATCTCTGTTTCAAAATTTGCCAAAGACTGTCACTGCCTGTTTAGAAGAAAGCAGCAATCAATGTATGGGTTTTTTTCAACCAAATGTTGCACAGGAATCTTGCTTTTTAGAATTATAAATAATACTGAGATGTTCAATTTTGGTTACGCCTGCTTAAGAAAGATACAGTAACAGCAAAATGAAGCCTGGGAGAAGACAATGCAAATGGTGACAAACACAGAAATTCTTCCACACAAGGAAAAAAAAAAACACATGACGTTTAAAGAGTAAATGAATAAGAATAGGAGGAATATTAAATAGCATCTGGTAAAGCAGCTTGTTACAACAAAACCTATCTTCCCTAATATAACACAGGACTTGAAACCAAAGAGCACATAATTTTAAATAGATATGAAGTCAAATTAAATGCATGTTTAACCTGTGAAATTCATTTCCATGTGTTATTACACAAGAGGAACTTTACAAAAGGAGGATGAGTATCAAGTTCTTCAGTTTCAAAATATGAAAGGAAAATGTAGAAGAGAAAAAAAAATTATGAACCAGAATCTCCCATCCCATATTTCACATACCAGTCCTAAATGCCAGCATTGTTGTATAAACTAGAAGAAGCAAAGAATAGTTGATAAAACTTTGAAACATTGGAGTATTCACTTGGTATTGTTCTGCTAAGTACTGGCTTGTAACAGCAGTCCCACAGATAAACAAGGAGAGCATCTGGCCCAGAAGTATTGTTTTCAAAATATGCCTGTAAATATAAAAGACAACACAGTAAGCTTAGAAATAAAAAACAAAAAACCAAAAAACCCACATTTGCTAGTTGTACAGGGGAAACATCAGTTTTTAGACTGATGCCTTATTCTTTTTGTACTTGCTACCAATGCTGTTCTGATTTACCCAGTAAGCAGGGTTTTGTCTACACAGAAGACCTAGTCTAACCTCATGACAGCCATGTAAGAAGTGAGGCCAGTTCAAACCACCAGTGACAGAGATTGCAACAATTTGCAATGATCTTGCAGCAGCTCACCTGGGCAGGCTCAAACCAATGGTAGGGTCTGTTCTCATCAAGAGAGGTTTTGATACACACGGCCTGAGTTAAGTCCTTCGTCCTCCACTGAATCCCACTCTGACTTTGGTCTGAGAAATCTACAACATTTGAAAGTGAGCTTCAAAAGATCATCTGGTCCAAGCTTTCATGGGAAAGGGAGCCTAGATGACATTATCTAGCACCCTGTCCAGTCACATCTCAAAAACCTCCAGTGATGGGGACTCCACCACATCCCTGGGGAAGTTATTCCAGTGAATGATTGTCCTCACTGTAAAAAAATTCTTTCTTATAATACAAATTGTTGTGATTAATAGTTACTGTGGATTTTTTTCTGCTATACTCCATCATGTCGTGCTGTAATTGAAGATGGAGTTAAGAACACATTTTGGCCAAAGATCATGTTAGCATTTACAACTCCTTTTAAGTCCAACCCACAGCTAGGAGGGGAAAAAAAAAAATGCTCACGGTCTCTTAGTAGCAGTTCTTCACCTAATATAAAGTGAACTATTCCAGATGCTCTCAAACAGGAGTACACATAGATCACTGTGTATCTTTTTTTTGTCCTCCCAGTGGAGCTATGCAGATTTGTACCATCCCAGTCTCTGCCCGCATACTCCCAATATACAGTGAGAGGGGCCCAGCACTGTGCTGTTTGTACAGGTCTGCAAAGTTCACATCTAACTTGTTTACTCTGAAGGCTACTGATGAGAATTTAACTGTCTGCACAACTGATTCATTTGTTCCTACTCAAAGCAATCGAGCAAGGGAAGAAAGCATCCCATTAGGATTCTGCACCTACCCTGTGCCCACATCTCTCCCCAGTGATTTCTGGCAGGGCACCCATGTGCCAGGCACACCACCTGACAGTAACACCGGTTGTCTTCCCAAGGTAGGCGACTTCAACATAGCAAATACCAGCTCACCCAGCTATGCTGTGCCACCCAGCTGTGAAGCAACAAGAAGGGTGTGTTCGGGGTGCTAAAGCCAACTACGACCATACAGTCAATCCCTCCTTTTGGAAGGGAGACATCTTCTTTGCATGGATTCTTAGTTCTGCTGCATGAATCTCATTTTCGATTCAGCCTGACACCAAAGCTCTTCTGACTTTAAAAATGCTGCTAGGCACATTTTTCTCTCCAGGTCCATTTGGATGAGACAGCAAATCTCTGCAAAGTCCACCTGTGCTGCATTTCCAAGAGAGCTGAACCCCACGTTTTACTACTGCTTGCCTTGCCAATCCCATCAACTGTGTACATCCATGTTATAAGTATTCATATATGATGTGACAATCTTGTAAGGTCCTATCCAGCCTTGTGTGAATAACTTTCTGGTGCATGAAAGAACAAACATTCTCATTTCTAGCATTTTGAATGTTGAAGCAAGCAACAGAGACCATGTTTCACCTAGAAGTTTATCATGGCTACTTTGTAGCACAGCATTCAGTGCTATAAAATACATTTTATAATATATATATGTATTTGTATGCAAAAAAAAACCACCACAAAACAAACACCTTTGAAGCTAACTCACTTCTGTTACATTGAATTTCTTTTTATTCTGGCCAAAGACCTGATTGAGCTATCTGGAGAAAAATCAGCAGTGATCATGACACATTCCGGCTAATTATTCTGACTGATGCAGAAATGGCGTTTTACATTCACCTAAAGAATTAATTAAATCAGGTGCCATTAAGAAGAATATAACACAGGTTAGCTAAAATTTCAGGGTTGAGACTACATCTTCTTTCAAGCAGGCACAGACAACTGTTCCAGCTCACCCTTTGCCAACCCTGTGAACTCCAGCTCCTCTGCAGGAGATGAGACAACAGAATACCCATTGAAATTTCAAGGAAGAAATAATGTGGTGAACAACACACAAAAAATGTTATTTCAGACATTTAAAAAATACATATATACTTTTTATTATTCAAATAAAGAGTCTCTTGCTCCAAACTAGCAGAAAATATTTCTTCTTTACCCTCAGTGGAGGGAGCATAGAGCAAGCCTTTAGCAATTTATTGGACTAAACTCACCCTGTGCTTGGACTAGCTGGGACAAGGGTGTGGAGGTGGTGATCAAACCCAAGCAGAGGTGTGACTGAGAAAAACCACCACAATTTTACTGGAGCAAAGCTGTGAAGCCCGCATAGTCCACAAAGTTAATTGCGCTCATCAATACGTTACCAGGCAAGGTTAAAGCTGCCTTGGCCGGCAGAAGCCCTGCTCTCCCGGATGCAAACTCCCCTTCACCATCTCCTCGGTGGTGTCACAGAGACAGGCAGAAGCATAGGCAATACTACCCCGCCAGCACCTGGTTTGTTTAATATGGACTTCTGTGGGGCAAGGTCTTAAAACATTTTCCTCCAGGATAGGATATGCAAGGGGCAGCTCTGCTTCTCCTGAACTATGGCACCCTTTCCACAGCAGAGGCCAGGACAATACGTGCGCAGTGTTTCAGCAAACTGACCGTGTTCCAGCAAGAGGGTAAAAGGAGGAAAATCTGCCACCATTCAAATTTGCTAATGATTGATCAGCTCCAACCACCACTTATTAAAAACAAGAAATACCCCGTTGCCTTCTTGCAGCGGAGTAACTCCACTAAGCTGATCCTCAGCTTTTCTAATAACTAAGTTTCTCCAGTTTAAAGTATCTGGGGAATTACCTCCTTATGGCTTTGCATATGGGAAGAGACAGAGGTCCAGAATCTACAGAACTGTTTGCAGAGTGGTTACTGCACCAGCAATTACTGCTGTATGGTTAATGTATGTCTCAGCAGTCCTACAGCTTTTACTTCTACAGTACAAAGGCATCTGACCAGGCAAGCAGGTTTCATCCCCTGCCTCATCTCCTTCTTTATTTTTCTCTATTTCCATTCAAGGATTTTTTTCTTCCCTGAACACATTCAGAATGATAAATTCAAGAGATACATAAAGACACTGTTCAATGACAGTGAAAGGCTGCCCTCAAAAAACGTCCTCTGTGAATTCCAAAACACTACATTTCTGACAACTTTCACAGCCACGTGTAAAATAGCAGTCTTGGCCTGATCGCCCCACGCCATCAATACCAAGTGCAAGCCTCAGCTGGAAGCAGCCACAGTTTCCCCTCACACCATTTGTCAAGGTGTCAAAAGTAATTTCTTCAGATTGTGACAGTGACACCATGTTCCCAGCACGATGCACTGGGCTCAAGGCAGCAAGACAGCAGTTTGAACAGAGTAAGACGACCCTCATTAAATGCGGGCTCAGGAGCCTTACTTCAGTGTCCACTAAATTCCCATAGCAAATGAAAAAAAGCATTGGACCCTGTGTAAAATTTGAGAGCAAACTTTAAAGCCTATTGGGTTTCATTTTGCAAGAGAATTTCTTATAAGAAAAATGCTTCAAAGACACGAGTTTCCACTCATTCTGGTATTGACATGAGTATCGATGACTGATTTCCTTATTAATAATTTATCATCATTTTTTGAAATATATTAATTATTAACTTTTCCATGCCAGAACCTGATCCTCTCTGCTCTTTTTTTTAAATGCATTGGTAAGGACTAAATCACTTTGGACTCCCAGACGACGCAAGGTAAGTGGCCTGAATTGGCCTTTTAGTTTTATAGTTTGGGGCTTTGTTGTTATTTTTTACTGCTTGGTAGTTAGCTACTAAGTAATCACACCTCTTCTCCCTTCAGCCCCCATATCTTATGTAGCTGTATCTACGGCTAAGAGCAAAACTAGGAGTTATTTGGGGATTTTTTAGAACATGAAAGTTCGCCACAAATTGGTCTAAAGCTAACGCTGAACAACATGCACCTCTTGACATCGTGAGCACATCAGGCTGGCTTTCTTTGCCTCTGTGCGAAATGCAGAAGAAAAATAACCAAAGATAGTAAAATACAATCAGAGACTATATCTGAGGAAGTTAAAGACAATCTAATAAGCCCACAGTTATCAATTTTATTGGCTATTAATTTAATAAACCCTATAATCTTAATGTGATTTTTTTCCTGAAAATAAATACAGCTTTTTAAAAATCAAATTTATTTATGCCATCAGTTAAACACTAACAGGCAAAGGCTGGCAACACTCTTCATACAGACAGTTTACTTGCACTTCAGGTTTAACTACTGAGCCCTTCCTGAATGGGGGAGAGGGCCATTTTGTTTGAATAATCTCACACTTTCATGTGAGTAGTTGAAGGAAAAGACAGGTTCAGACTGAAGCCATATTCCAACATGATTAGCAGATAGCTCAGGACAGAAAAAAAAAACCACATTTTTAAGAACTAACATTTTCAGAAATCAGTGTTTCAATGAGTGTTTTGCTTTGAAACTAGGGTCAGTTTAATTAGTAAAAGGTTAGAAACAAAAAAAGACTTGTTTTGTTTCAAGAAGCAGAAAGCGTACTTTCTACTGCTTTTACTCAAATAAAAAAAAAATCTACTTTATTACATACAAGTATTAAACTTCCCCATGACTCAGAAAGGCCTCTAACAAAACTGAAGTGGCTGCACCACCAGCTACCTGGGAAAAGAAAAAAAAAAATCACAGTATCTCAGACAACACTTTGCAAAAGGCAGCGAGAGCTAGTTATTTTCTTTCAAGCACCATGACAGACAGGAGGAATTAAAAGAGAAAAACTTACAACCAGAAGAGAAAGGCAGGCTTTGCCCTCTGGACAGGGCTTTGCCTGGCCAGCACGCACCTCCATGC